TTTTAGTCAAGATCATTCTTCAAAAATTCCAACCCTGAATTTCCAGCTTATCCTCATCCACAAATTCTACATGTTCATTGTACAATTCCCCAAACTATTTCTTCCCTTGCCAGCATATACTCTATCAGTAGTAGCATTATCTAGCAGACCACTCAAAAGACACAGGGAGGGAGGATTCTTTGGTCTCTTCTCTCCATTTCTGCCCTTCACCCAAACTTCCTAACACTACACACTACAGGAGAACATAACACTGAACTATATGGTCAGAGTCTAAAACACTGATGAGATCACATTTTACTGACAAGGGAAGTTACTGTGTCCCACTGGTCCATGTTCTAAATAACAACTTTCTCTGTCATTCCAAATTCCAAGCAACAAAGTAGAGCCTGCTTTTCAGGCCTTCTTCTTCTCTGCTGGGATCAATCTGGCCACTATGAAATCTTGGGAAATCAATGGGACATATCTCCGCACCTCTTTCCTAATCAGTAAAATGGGGAAGATGATAATAGCATGTAATTCCTCGAGTAGTTGTGAGAATTAAATGAAACCATATGCTAAGAACAGTATCCTACCCACAGTAATCAGCAATGACTTTTTCCCATAGTTAGGGCCTCCACTCTCCTGACTTTCCTGCCTTTCTGTGGTAAGCTTATCTGGACAGAGAAATCTAGACAGATATCCATTCTCTCTTCCTCTCTTCTCAAACATTCCTCTCCCTGAGAAAGAATGAAGACTGTCCTAGATAGGAAGGAACTTTAGCTGACATGGTCCAAGTTATTTTTACCATTAAGTATTTTATTGGGCAGTATCAGGTGCTTGTTCAGCTACCAATAATTTGACCATCTCACTCTTGTTCCCTGATGTGTACAGAAACCATAAGTGGGAACACAGGAAAAACCGGGGTAGGATTTGAGCTGAAAATCTCTACCCTGAACCCCTCACATAAGAACCTCATAGTCAAACTTGATGTCTTTTGCTTGCCTGCCACAATGACAATTACTGATAAGTGTTACTGATCCTATTTCTTCAATCTATCTCCTTTTGTTTAGTACTATTTTAAGTAGTAGTACTACTACTTCAACAATTGCCCCAGACTCCAAAGTAGTCTGCTAAAATCTTTCCCATTCCAAGCCAACTTTAACATTGACTGCCATCTTTCTAAACTCAGTCATGTTACTTGTTTGTTGACATTTTTCTGTGGCTCATCAGAGTTCTTAAAACAGACACTCTGCATCTTGGCTAAACATCAGAATTTCAGAGATATCATAATCACCGAGGGGGACACCAAAGAATGAGTTTTTTTTTTTTTTTAACATTCCAGCACAGTATCATTGAGAACCACATGCTTACTACTTTAATTGAAAATAGAAAATCTGAAGTGCAATGTTGCAAGTAATTTCTTAAGAGTAGGTAAGTATATAGCCACTAATTTCAAAATAATTGGGCCAGGGATTTAGCTCAGTGGTGTCAGCGCCTGCCTCCAAGCTCAAAGTCCTGAGTTCAATCCCAGGTACCACAAAAAAAAGAAAAAAAATTGACAAAAATTCAAATATGAAAGTTCAAATATGACAGCTTTCAAGGTAACAACTTATTTTAGAAAATACCCTAAAGGAGAAGGGGAAGTGAGAAGGGTAAGGGAAAGGAAATAGGAGAAAAGATTAAAATATGAAAAGAAAAAAAAAAGAAAATACCCTAGGTTCCAGAAAATTCAAGCATAGAAAAACCCTGAGAATAAGGAAATAATAAAGCAGTAAAAATAATGATAACAAGATGGATGTGTGTAAATAAAGATTTAATGATAAAGATGAATGAAAGATAAGATCTTACAAATTTAAGAGCTACAACACCGGTATTAATGAATGAGCAAAAAACAAAAAAAATAAAACTATAAGAAAAGACACAGATAAAATAAAGGTATGGTTTGAAAATCAAGCAGCAAGCTTAGAAACAGTCTGTATAAGCAGGCTGCTAGACCAGTAGATGGAAAGAACACAATCAGAAAGTCACAGCTTTATTTTATCTTTGCCACTTACTAGACAAGCTAATTTTTACATTGCTATACCTTGTCTGTAAACTAGGAATAAAATTTGTCCTACTGGGTATTTGAGAGAATTAAATGAAATTATATATGAAACAAACGTTTGTTGAATGTCCCTTAAGAGTACAGGTTGATGCCAGGTGTGGTGGGGCATACCCACAATCCCAGATACTCAAGAAGCTAAGGATCACAAATTTTAGGGCCACCTTGGGCGATTTATTGAAATAAATTAAAAATAAGAAGGGATGGAAGTATTGTTCTTTGAGAAGGTCATGGGTTCAACTCCAGAACTTCAAAAATAAATATATAGGCTATACATCCCTCCCCTGAAAATCTAAAATCCGAAATCATCAATATTAGAAATGTTTCAGGTTCAACATAAGACACATGTACAATTTCACACATGACTTCATCTGATTAGGTGCAGCAAAATACATGCACATAAAAATACAGTATAGCCAGGTATAGTGGTGCACACCTGTAATCCCAGTGTTTGGGAGGCTGAGAGGCAGGAGGATCTCTGTGAGTTTGAGACCAATCTGGGCTACATAATGAGTTCCAGATCCATCTCAACTACATAGTGACACCTGTCTCAAAAAAAAACAAAAAACAACAAAAAAAAACCCAAACAGTATAAAATCACCTTCAGGCTATGTACACATATGAAACATAAATATTTAGATTTGGGTCCCATCTTCAAGAAACTTCACTATATATAATGCAAATATTCCAATTTTTTAAAAAATCTCAAATATGAAATAGTTCTGCCCTTAAGCATCTGAGATAAAAGATACTCAAGCTTTTACTACAGAATAAAATCCAAAGGAGAGAAAAAACTTCTAAAAAAGCCATAAAAAACAAATAATCAGAAGCTTAAAAACTTTTAATCTCATACTGTGCCCAGAATGAGAGATTCCTTTAGTTTTCACGTGGCAAAATTTGATATTAGTGCAATTCTACATAAGTAATCTATTAAAAGAATCATTCCAAAACAACACTATGCCTGCATTTAAAAGTACACACAGTAGGTATTAATTACCATGTACTGAAATCAACATTATATTAATTACTATTGCATTAAAACGTTTTGGTAAACAAATAGCTCCTTACTCTGAAGTCATTCCCAAATCAGTCTACTAATATTAAAGTCCACACTTTCCTGAGCTATTTTAGCAGAGAAAACAAAAAACATCTCAGGTGGTATAGTATATGTTTTATAAACATAATTTTGAAAGGTCAGCTGCTATTTGCCCCAGGGTTACATCCAACGGGTAAGGAAAGGCTAACTTTGTTGTCAAGGAATCTTTTCCACATGCTGCATGAATATTCATGCATGCTGCATTTCAGTTGCCATTCCATTAAACTAAGTAAATTCTTGAGCAATATCTTTTAAGTTAGAAAATGGGTATTTTGAACTTTTCTAAATATCCTAAGTAGGGTGAAACTGTACTTTAATCTTTAAAACAAACATTCCTTATTTTACCGGATTTATTATATACTGTTAAAATTTATTTTACTTGGTTCAAGGGCAGAACTGTTACCCACAACTTTGTCTACTGTTCAAGATTATGGCTGTTCTGTGAATAACAGGAGGAACTTATGAGTTGGGCATTTAGAGAGAGAAACAGAGTAAGATTTTCCTAAAAGATTGTCTACAGAAAGTATGGGGAGGGTAAAAAATACATCAGAGTAAGACAAAGGCTGACTAAAGTAGTGTAACTGCATTTTAAGTTGCAGAAGACTGAGAGAGCAATGATTTATCTGTACAATCCCCGACAAAAGGAAAAGAGCAGTAGAAAACAGCACTACCTAAGTGAAGAGACAGCCCTGTTCACAGTACTGATATTAACTAGCAGTGTGCCCTGGGTATGATCATTTCCATCTCTGGGTCTAATGTAAAATGAGAGTGATGGATCACATGAGGATTTCCAAGTCCTTTCTAGCTCTAAACATCAGCCAGCTTTAAAATGGGTGGTGGCTTATCTTTTTGCCAGCCCATCACGCAGGCAATAACTCCAAAGCCATTGACATGTGCAGAAGGAGCTCTGGCAAGGCACAAAGAGCATGTACTGGACAAGCACATGCCCAGCTTCTTGTACCAAGGACTGTTTCACATTTTTCTATACACTAGAAAATCACATCCTTTGATCTCCAACTGAGAGATGCCACTGGTTATAGCGCACATAGAAAGCCTCAGGGGTTTAGTATTGGAAGAAAGAAGGGCTGAGTAAAAACCCCCTAACTAAGAAGAAATAAAACAGTAGAACAGGAAGTATTACAGATAATAATCTAACAAAACATCTAATTTTATATAAACACTAAGTTTCTGATAGGAGAACTCACTGGCCCAAAGATATCTATTGGGCTTGTATGAATGGGATGGGTAAAAATGAGATTTTCTACTCCACAGCCAGTGATCTGCTCAACAACCCATCAAGATAACAAGTTCAAAGAAACTGATGTTACTTAGGCATAGTAGGGCATGCCTATAATCCCAGCACTGTCAGAAACTAAGGTAGGGGTACTACAATTTGGACCCCAGCCTGGGCAACTTACAAGACTTACTAAGACCCTGTCTCAAAATTTTCAGAAAGTGGGGAGGGAGTGGGGACTCAGTTTAGTGTGAAGGTCCTGGGTTCAATCTGTAGTAGTGAAAAAAACAAAGACAAAACCTTATGGTAACTGATCTGGCTTTCAGAAATGATCTTATAAATGAGGTAAGAGTTCTGTTTGCTTAATTGTGATTTCAGTTTTCATATTAAAAAAACATTTCAAATACCACTGAATTGTACTGAGAAGAAAATAACCTGTCTCAGTGGTATCTTATATGTTCCAATTAAAAGTAATAAAAGAAGGATAAAATATATAAGCACAAATACATAGCAAGCTCCTTTTTAAACCAACTCCCAGTCATTCCTTCAGATCATGAGCTCAGGTTCAGGTAATCCATAAATTTCCTTACCATTCCAATGCAGAAGAGGACAAAGAGCAGTAGCCATGGTATGTCTGTGCAGCTACGGTCTTCCAGGGGCTTCCATTCTCGTTTGGAGCTCTAATTAAAAATACAAAATAAAAGTAGACAGTAAATGTTAAATTCAGTTAAAATTAGAAAGACATGAATATACCAATCATACCTAGGTCCCTTCTTTGTCAGACCGGATTCTAGAACCTTTAATATTTGTCACCTTTTAGGTGAAGTTCACCCTAGCTTCCTTGGCCAGCACTCCATTGACTCCACTCTCCCACTTCCTCCTGGCCAAGCATAGTACTGAAATCACTGCATTTTGGGTACTTCCACTGTAGTATTTAACATGCTGAATTGTTTAGTGGTCAGGCTGTGACCCCAGCAGAGTGTAAGCTTCACACTGGAAGACGCCATTCTCATTTCCCAAATAACTAATATAACACCTAAAGGTTTATGATGTGTTCTCAGTCAGGGCTTTTTAAAATGAACAAACTCACAAATAAACTCCTTTAATCTCAATCTTAATGCTGGTTTTTTGTCTGTCCAGATGATAGATTTAAAATTACACACATGTATACACACATAATTTTTTTTTCTTTTAGAGTGTGTTTTCTTCTGGAAAGGAAGCCTATCAAAATGAATTCCTAAAGGCAATAGGTTCTTCTAATGCAAATAAAATTTAGTTTTTCTGGACTATCTGAGCAATTTCTAAACCATCTATGGATTTTCATTCTGCTCCTAAAAAATATTTATTAAAGAGCTTCTAGATAAAACACAGATTGTCTAACTGAAGAACTAGAGACATTCTGAAAGTTAATTTGCAAAGTATTGACTGAACTTCCAATTGCATTTTTTTCTTATTTGCAATAGTCCTAGGTTCTCAGGTCAGCTCACACATACTTCTCAATCAAAAGGTAACTGAAGTAAAATACTGGTGAACTTTCTAATGAACAAAAATTCCTTAAGTCTTACTTACACCCTCTCCTAGAAACAAGGGACAAAAGGGAAGAAAGTAGCCTTGGGAAAACTAGGGAAAGGTTTCTGGCTGAGACCTCTAGTGGCTTCCATGACAAGATCCAGGAAGCTATCTGGAAAATTTGTCAGTAGGAAACGGTAACAGCAGAAGGGGGCTAGAGATAGAGAGTCCTCTGGTATAATTAGTACTATACTTTGAGTGCAACCCAGCTTAGTTTTCCCTTCTTTGAAATCAACAGTTTTACACTATCTATTCTTTGATAACCTGATGAAAGCTGTAGATTATTTTCTTATAATCTAAACATATATTCACATCAGTTTCAAAAAGTTTAGGGAATTCAGACTCTAGGTTAAGAAACTCATTTTTGAAACAGCTGACAATCAACTTGGAGGGCAGAGAACTGGGTTACAACCACTCCTTCCTGACTTTTAAAGCGTTAATCAGACAAATGCCTTATTGCTTTATATGCTCAACTGTTAAAACAAAAATATTCAGTTTGTTCCCAGACACCCACACAAGAAAACAAAAGAGCACTAGTTAGTCATGGAAAAAACCTTGTCCCAAGACACTAGCATTAAAAACCAAGAATGAGTAGGCTTTTTTTTTTTTTTCCAGAGGAATACAGCACTGTGGCATAATGGGTAAGGGACTGTTCTCTCCCCAGCTCTGTCATTATTTAGCTAGCTACATGACCAGATAAATTGCTTCATCTATCTGGGAGGCAGGAAGGAGTCAGAGTGAATCTTTTGGGTTTCTCCACCTCTAAAAATCTATGATCAAGAGTACACTTTTGTGATGACAAAAAAAACCCTCCAAAATAATCCGACATTACTCCTTGTGTTATTCAAATAAGAATGCTTGAATTGTCTGCATTTTAGAAGACAGTAGCCCACAGTGTGAATAAAGAATGTTTCTTTGTATCAGATAATTTCAGTCTTGAATAATGTCCAATACAATAAAATTACTCACCAACACAGATTCTGGATACCTATTCAAAACCATTATATTTATTCTGTGGTAATTTATAAAGCAACAGCAACTTTAAAATACTCTATATGTCTTAACAAAAAATAAGAATGGCAGGAGAAGGGGAGCCTCAGGTTGACTTTTCTTTAACCACAATTATTTTCTTAGTATTTTTGAATGTACATTCAGTTTGTTAATGCTTAAATTTTAATCCATAACATAAAGGAAGAGGAACATCACTCTTGACAAGAAAAATACAGAATCATTGTCTCAAGAATTCAATTTAACTTGTGGCGGGCCACTTTTGTGCCAAATAAATAAAGAATCTCTCACTGCCAAGGAGACGTGGGAAGGTGGTAGGGGTTACATATAAGAAAATGCTATAAACCAAAGCACAGTGCAAGAGCAAAAAGGATAGTGTGACCACCCTCAGTCCAACAAAGGCTTCCTGGTGGAGATTGGGAGCAGCTCACTTCATAGGCTGTGTGGAGATAACATGTGTGCATCTATCACTTAATAAACACTTAATCCTTGGTTATTATTGCTTATCAATATTCTCTTTCCAGTAAATCCTTTCACTATTGCTAAAATATCTTTTTATCAGGTGGCCCTTCCCATGAAAAGGAATAAAGAAAAATATTAACTCTCCCTTCCCCTTAGACTTACTAAAAAAAGAAAAAAATTATTTAATGATGATATATTTCATTTTAGCTATCATTTTTAATCCTACCAGTGATCAATTACTATTAAGTAGGCCCTAGACCCAAAGTTTTACATATACGGTCATATACCTTCAAAGTAGTGATGTAAGTTTTACCCCCTTTTCACAAATAAGGAAACTCAGGCTTAGAAATTAAATAATTAGCCCAAAGTTTTACAGTTGGGCAACAAGGATTTGAACACAAGTCTGTGATTCCAACACCAACTCCAATGAGATTATTTCTTCACACTGGTCAATAAAAAGCAATTCCCGCCATTAATGTTTCCTCACACTATAAAATTTGGAAGCTAGGTAGATAATTAAAAATCTTATAAAAAAGAATCATATCACAGAGAAGTATGTGCACCCATGTTTATAGCGGCACAGTTTGTAATAGCTAAATCTTGGAAACAACCTATTTGCCCATCCGTTGGAAACTGGATAAAGAAGTTGTGGTTTTTCTATAAAATGGAATATTACTCAGCCATAAAGAGCGAGAGAATAGATTCATTCATAGGAAAATGGATACATATTGAAGATATACTCCTAAGTGAAATAAATAAGTCCCACATGTGTAAATACCAAATAGTTTCCCTGGTGTGAATATTCTGCAACAATGCATAAGATTCTAATAAGATTACTGACATTTAGAAATGGGAGGAAAGGAGCTAAAGGTGTAGGGAAGGTGTGATACGTAGGGGAAGAACAAAAAGGGAAAAGAAAAAAATGTGAGAGAATGAAAAGACGAAAATAAAGTGTTTGTAGATGGGGAGGGGAGGAGGGGGTGAAGGGAGGGCAGAGGTAAGGGGAAAAAATGAGAATCAAGACTTGCCATGTAAAGGTACATGATCCCAACAATGAATGTAACTGTACTGTATCCCTAAATGTACCAATAAACTCAATAAAAAAAAAATCTTATAAATGTAAAGAGAGAGAGACATATTATGAGCCATTAAATTTCTCAAGTAAATTAGGAAACCCAACAGTTGAAAAATTTTAATGACTTTTTAACAGATTTAACCAAGTGGCAACTGGGTTTAATAATGTTTCTTCCAAGTAAAGTTCCACATAGGCCTAGCAAAGTAAAACATTTTGCAAAAACACTTTTTAAATGTGGTTTTATCCCTTTGTCAGATTCTATGTGAGATTAATAAGGCTGTCAATAAATAGTAGGTCTTTCTACTTTCAAAGAATCATACAATTTAGGAAGTAAACAGAATCAAAATAATCATGCAGTCCAAACATTTAATAGGAATGACTAAGACTCAGGAAAGGAGAGGGAAAAGATTCATCCAAGGGGACACATCCATTTATCTACTCTATTTTGTAGAAGAGGAAATCAATTTCATAGAAAATTATGCCTGAAACCTGAGCCCTCAAATACTAGCAGAGAGAAATGATAAGAAGTCAGAAAATGCTTAATTAAAAAAATTATAAAAATAAACCTGGTAACAGATATAAAGAATGCCTTTCTCAGGCTTACTGTTAAAAACACAGCCAAGGAAAGAATCACTAAACTCAATAAAAGATCAAACAGATACACTAACTGAAACACAAAAAGAGTGAAAATTTAAAAATCAGAATTGAGCACCCAAGAACTGTAGGACAATATTGCAAAACCTAATACATTTTTAATTGGAACCCAAGAAAAAGACAGAATGGGGTATAGGAAGTATTCAAAGAATTAATAACTGAAAAATTTCCAAAAATAGGGGAAAAATATAGATTTAAGGAGTTAGCAAATCCCAAAAAGGATAAATACATACACACAACCCTGTACCCATAAACCGTTGAAAAAAAATCAAAGATACAAAGCTCATATTGAAGGAAGCCAGAGGTCTTTTTAAAAAAAGACATATTACATTCTTGTTAGAAACCAAAGTAGAAAACAACAGAATGATTCAATTTCTGAAAGGAAAACAAAATGCAAACTATATACCTAAAATCTCTACTAATAGAAAATGTTTCTTGGAAGTGAAGAGCTTTTCAGATTTTAAGTTGAGAGAATTTATTAGTAGATTTGAACTATAAAAAATATTAAAGTTCTTTAGCAGAACCAGATCCCAAACAAATCTGGAAGTACAAAAGAAAGGTTGATTCCCAAAAATGGATAAAATTAAAATTTAAAAAATTCCATAACATTTAAAAATGTCTACATATAAAAATAAGGGTGTGAATATATACGTATAATAGCATCTACACTATATGGCCTTTTTTGCACACTTACGTAAGGTATATTCTAGAAGGTAGAATTACAACTTGCAATACAAGTTGGACAGCCTTAATTCAAAAATCCAAAATCTGAAATGTTCCAAATTCACAACTTTTTGAGCCCTGACATGGCAACACAAGTGAAAAACTCCACATTGTCCAACTTTCTTTCAAGCACAAACTATTAAAAAATGCATAAATTTACCTGTGGGCTACATATATCAGGTATATATGAGACATAAATGAATCTCATGTTTACACTTGGGTCCCATCTCCTGGATATTTTACTATGTGTATGAAAACATTCCACAATTTTAAGAGATCCTGAACACTCTGGTTCCAAGCATTTTGAATAAGGGATATTCAATCTGTACTACCACTGAACCATTAAAAAACAAATCATACTACAGCTAGCATCTACTTCTTTTTTGTATTATAATTATATCCTTAAAATTAGGTGGGGACACTCTTTAACATCTTTACATTCTTTCCTACATTTTGTGAGGGGAATGGGGATTAAAAATAAAAAAAGGAGCAAGGGCTGGGAATTTAGCTCAGTGG